TATGAGACTCAACTGCGCTGCAAGCTGAATGCAGACAGAGAAGTTCAGGGNTATATTTTCCGGGTTGGAAGATTACATAACGACTGTCTTTAACGAAATTATCCAAGGTGTGGCGACTTGTTTTTGATGGAAGAGATTAAAAGAGACAAATGGAAATAATAAGACTTAAAGGATTCGAGACACATAAAAATCCATTTCTCGAATTCTTAAGATTCAGCACTCAATCTATACACTAGAGGTACGTTTTAATCGATCTCCGCCATTTAAAAATCGTAAAAATAATCTATTAGTAGAAAAAAAAGCGTTTTAGTAAACCTCACCTTAATATTCATAAATGAAGCAACAGATCTGTGTCACGTGGTACTGTGATGACAATGAGGATAAAGGCATATGAGACTCAACTGCGCTGCAAGCTGAATGCAGACAGAGAAGTTTATGGAATTTGTGTTGAACGAGGTTAGGCAATGTTCGTTCAGTGTTTGCCGTGGGATTCACCAAAATTGCAGCACTCGTTGACAATCTTTTCTTTGTCTGTGACGGTCGTTCGTGACTTACTTACTTCGGTGACAATAGTTGCGATGCTTGAGATAATGGCCACCACAGGTGGTTTAGATGGCATAGATAAAGTACGAGGCGCTGAGCTTTACGCGAAATAGTGCAGATAATTTGCGAGGCGAAGCCGATGACTTACCAAAAAAGCAGCACTCGTTGACAATCTTTCTTTGTCTGTGACGGTATTCCGTGACTTATTTAGTAACTTTGGTGACAATAGATGTGATGCTCGAGATTATGGTCGCCTCAAGTGGTTTAGATCACATCAAAAGCTGATCCATGTGTACAATACACTAGTCTGCCGTGACCGAATAAAATAAATCATTTTAAATAATTTAATACACATTGGTTTTGCAGTCTATTTGACTCAATATTTTAATTTTATTTAAAAATAGAAACCTGCGAAAGAGAAATACCACTTTGATGTGATGAAAATAAGATAAATATTCAGCTATGGATATTATTCGTTAGGACTGGCCAGGGTGCTGGTGACCCTGAAGTATACATTTGCAGCAATAAAGGGTACCGCAGAAGATCATCATTGGTCAGAATTGTGCCGGAAGTGACGTGTAGTAGTGTAAGACGTAAAGCTGAGTGGTCATTTTTAGCTGGAGGTGAATGGGAATGAAGACGTGGGCTTCGAGAAAAAAGCAGTTATTCTAACAACACGGTAAGATAACATTTTATCTTTATGCATTTGGGGCAGAGAATACTTGTAGAAACAATAGGCACATGATATGAAAACGTGTCACGGAACTTGAAGGTGCAAAATCATGGTTAATTTGCAGACAACTTGTTTTGAAATACATGCTGCATCGACCGCTGTATTTTTCTTGTTTGTATTTGACTATTCGTGGGTTTACAAACATGTTGATAGTCCACCATATGTGTTATTGCGTCGCTGATGCTTGCTGGGTGCTTTAAACTAGTATAACGCTCAGCATCCTGATCAATACAGCTTTGACAAAATTTTGATATTGTTTCTTTTGTCCTAAAAGACTCGGATTTATCAGGATAAGCATCTCTAACCAATAACAAAACGCGGCACAGCCATTGGTTTAACGTTTCGTTTTGCGATTGAACGGCAGTATGAAATGCCAGGCGAGCCGAATCGGGATGTTTTTTAATCCCGAACACTAAGTCCATTTCTTTTATTATAGATGTGTACGACACATTTTTATTTGCTCTGATATGGCTGTTATACAGTGCCAAAGCCTCGCCTTCAAGACACCACAGAAGGTAGTCCAGACACTCGATTTCTGACCACTCTTTTATCTGGCGATAACTTTCATATCTTTTTCTGAAAGACTCCCAGTCGTCACTGTTTCCGTTAAACGATAATTGTTTAGGTAAATCACTGGGGTCTACTCTGCCCTTTTTGCTTTTTGGACCTACTTTTTCTGGTTTGGGTAGCCAAAAGTACTCTTTTTCACTGTTATCCCTTTCATAAATTAGTGGTACGTCACAGAAAACGGGAGACGAGATTCTAGGGCGCGTATAATGTTTTCCTATTGAACTAGACCGGTATTCATGATTTTGTTGAACTGTATCGGCAAAATTTTGCGCAACATGTCGTTGCCGCCGTCCGGGTTTAGGAACATGAAACTGATACAGATCACAATTCACATCACCCTTATGGACAGACGGAGCAAAGTGCCGACTACTGTCGGCAAGGAAGTAACAGTATCAGGGTTCATGACGCGGCCTGGAGACTTTGCATGCACAGATGTTACTTTTTTATCTTTGTTATTGGCACGCAGCCTCTCAATAGGCAGAGCAAAAATGTCGTATTCAGAGGCTAAAGTGGCTGGCTGCGATGTGAAAGATTTTGGGTCAATAGCTGAGTGAAAATGTGATTTTGAACAAGATTTTAATTTAGAATATGTTGATGGTGAAAAATTAGCAGCGTTTTTTACATTTTTACTGCGAGAAATTTGTTCTTGGTGTTGAATTTTCTCACCCAGTTTGAAAATTTTTTCAAATTCCACCCTATATCTCTCAGCAGCCGCTCTTCATTCATGCTGAATGTAGGAAGTCACTTTAGAAGTTGTGTTATGAGTTTTTTGAGTAGATAAACGCTAGGGTCTAGGTCACCCATGTTGACTTCAGATCCTAATTCACTGCTGTGAGTACCCCCAAAAGAGAGATTTTTGATTTTATTTGATTCAGTATTGGATCCACAAATTTCCAAAATGTTGGATCTGGTCACGGGGATCCCTTGCTCTCTAGCGTATATTATCCTTTCTGCTCGTTTAGGACCTATACCCGGCAGCGTAACGAGTTCATCGTAAGTCGCACGATTGATTGGCAACCCTGATGCACTCGCCATTGTACATTTGTAAGCGAGAACTAAATTGATTCAAAATAATTTCACCTATCAAAGCACAATACGCTACCAAGCTTATAGCGAAATTTACTATAAATAGATTCCAAAAACGTACAATTAATTCAAATTCGGGGAAGAGAGACTTTGGCACACAACGCAATAAGTTGAATTTAGTCAGAAATTCTGTTCAGAATCCTATCTAAATTACAAAAATAATAATCAACAAGAACACTGAAGTCAATATTTTATTCTTTCAAATAAACTAAAGAAATAAAGAAACCAAATATTACGTGTGCACCTCAGTCTTGGAGAAAATTCAGCTTTGATAACAACACACAGGGGAATGTGACCAACGTCTCCTTTATATCACAATTCACACACGTAAGCACTGAAAATACAGTAGATACGCAACAAATACCAATGTCCCCTGAAGCGGTAACCTTTATGATCCAAAATTGAAACTACAATTTTGACCGCCGCTTCACCCAATTATTCAAATGGACGTTAGACAAAGGTACATGTATTTCCCGCGTAATCTACTTTCAGCTAGATCGCAGCGAAAACTAAGCTTTAGGCCCGCAAAATTACAAGTTATGAATGCCTTGTCGCCAACTACTAACAGAACAGAACTAACAGAACAAATTACATGAACTAAGATTTAAAAGAAATAGAGAACACTCGGATGAAATAATCTGAACTAAACAAACTAAATATATACTTATCTTTACAACTAAAAACTTAACTCTTAAATAACACAAATAAGAAAAAGCAAACCAATCAAGTCAGTATATGGGATTGTCATGGAATGATCTGATGTATTGTTAAAACTTGACGATTAAGCCTCTTACGATTAAATACTTGTGCATTTTGAGCAATTCCTCAATTTTAGGTTTAACGTTAAGTTATTACAGTGCATTTGTCATTGTGGTAGTTGCGCTAGTCAATAGCTGGCACATTTAGAATCCATTTGCTTGCATTCTTGCCTTGAGAGACCCAAAGTCGGCAAGGGGTTTATAATTGAGATTATGTGTAGCTTTTAAGTAAAAATGCTTCTTAAGAATTACAGAGTTGAAGAACTATTCTATAAGAGTTGTATAAAGAAAATCCGCAAAGCTATATGATATATAAAGAACACAGACGTTCATGATATGAGATAATTTTGTGATTTATTTTTTACATCATCTGTTTTTCTTTACAGTTGTCAGCATTGCTGTGGACTACAGTTTGCTTTGTTCATAATAAATCATTGAAAACGACACAGAGCTGTTGTTGATAAATTAGCATGCAGTCCAATGCATATTAATCATATCCAATATACATAATAATATGAACATGAATCTGTAACACTGGAATACAGACACAGACACTCTGCGGGTTGCATGATGTTTGCCCACAAAAAGAACGCTTATTATGCAGTGCGATGTATTTCTTGGTAAGGCAGATACCTCTATGTTAATGTCTTTGTGATACCGCCCACGTCTCCGAACACACCCAGACTTCACTGACGGTCTGATATACGCTATTGAAAGACAGAAAACCGCAAGATTCAATGCACTGAATATACGCAGCGAACCGTTAATATTTGGGGACATGAACTTTTTAATGTCATTTTAGACCTGAAAGTACAACAGATTAATAGAGCGAGAAAATTGTTGAAAAGAGTTTGCCGAGTCTTGAAATGCTGTTTGATAATCTTTTGACACTCACTCAAGGATACTACACGGATTAGGTCGCCGGTCCCTCCTACAAGAACAGGTGAATAAAATATCGCTTGTTGAGGTATAGATGAACTGATGTTCACTCCAGTGGTGTATTATTTCCATCTGGATTCATCCATGAAAAGCTGAGCATCCACTCTGTAAATTCAGGATTATCAAACTAGAGGAAAAAACACGATAACGACAGCACAGGGTATTTACACAGAATATGTTGTACTGGATTGCAATTCTTCTATTTATGACTCAAATGGAAATTTAGAGGGTATTTCCAGAAATTTAGATCGATCTTACTAGATCGACCTAACTCCCTGGGGGTTCACGCTAAGTTGCAGTCAGCCTACTGCGCACGGAAGTTAATTACCCCCTTACAGCTTGAAGTAGGCCGGACGGACATTTAAGCCGGATTATCTGACAGTAATCTAGTGAGACTCCCCAAGGGGATAGATCGATATAAAATCTATGGGAATGCGCCCTTAGAGTTCTCGAGGAACAACAATCTTAATTGGACAAATAATGTTCACTTGGGAATCAATTACAGCCTTTGTCCTGAATTCATCCAAACGTGAACGACAGCACTCGGATCAGCTCTAAAATGAAGACTTGTCGCATTCTTAAAAAGGACATGTCAAGTGGCCGGTAGACTGCTTACGTGCAGCGATGATATCTCCTGCTATTTACAGAGGCTGGGTGGTACTTGGGATTTCAATTCTAACATTTATGTCCTCAGCGGGCATTGAGGCATCCTGGGGGACGATGATCTTATGTTTTCAAAAGGATAAATATTTTCCGGAATCGTCCCTTGCGCAGCTTGGTAAGAACCTGTATGAATTTGTATTATTTTTTGTATTATTATTTATTTTTCAAGTAGGAGTGTGGGGTGTGGGGCGGGGGGAAAGGCCGATAGATAAGATATTAAATCACATTTAACATAATACCTTTCTATTATCGTAATATTATAGAAAAATCTAACTTAAGAACTTTAGCCTAAGGATGCTCTGTTGACCCTGCTTTTGCTGAGGTTTATTTGCCTGCCACATACATGAATATTAGACATCGGTAATAATTTATGCAAATGCATATTCGTTTTCATATATTTTGGGAAGTGTGTAGAAAATTTACAAATTTAATACAATAAGTTAGTAAGGAAAGATATTTCATATTAGACATTTACATGCAGCCATTTAAAGGGGAGCCTTTATCAATTCACATTGGTCTCGTTCTGTAAAAAGTATAAAATCTATTCGACTTTCATTCACTTCTGTTTTTCAGGGATTCCTTTCACAGTGTACAGTGTATTTAAGATCTCATTGAGTAACTTTGTGTTCATGACTTTGTCTGGGGCTGGAAAACTTAGCCTTCGCCAGTTTATAGCTGTCGGGGTATCTTTAAGAGTGCTAGGACTGTTTCTGGCATCATTTGCTAATGGTCCCCATTCTGTGGCCATAGCCTTTGGCATCATGTTTGGAACTGGAAATGGATTGTGTTGTATAAGTTTGTATTTATTAATAGTAATTTGGTTCCCTTGGACACATAGATTTCACGTGTTTTCAGCCACTGCGCTGAATGTTCTGGAACCTCTTGGTAAGTACCCACAACAGTGAAGCATCGTCTAATATATTAATTTATATGGAAATTATATTTTCATATTTTAATATCCAAGCATATAATAAAACTTGTAAAATCTAACCTCTCTCTAAATCTCTTTTCGCCTCTCTCCCTCCTGAATTTTGCTATGATATAGATAACTTTATAATTTTCTTCAGGAGGGTCCATCTTTAATAACGTTAACGCAAAGATGTGTGAAACCACGTTTCTGGGGTGGCGATGGGCGTTTAGAGTTTATGCAGCTACCTTTGGATGCCTTGGTCTTCTTCTACTTTTGGTATTCGGGAATCCTCCAATGACGTCATCAGATGAACCAGACAAGGGCGCCGTTGAAGAGTGCGTTGAAGTTTGATATACAGGGGCACGGCCACTTAAAACACTTGATTCGCTAGATTTTTTTCAGCAGATTTTTATACACATTTATAATTACAATTTTGCACACAAGCAGGAGACAATTTGCTTAATATAAGCGCAATACGCTCTTCCGTACTAGAAATAAGCACAATACCATGTCTACAATACACTATTCTGTTGTGACCGAATAAATTTATAAAGATATTTTAAATTATTTCCTAAACTCTGATTATACTGTTTAAGTTACTCATTACTGAATAGAAATTGGCAAAGGACGAATTCTGCTTCGATATGATAAAAACAAGTCTTCAGCCATGGATATTATTCACAACGACCAGGTGCTGGTGACCATTAGATATACATTCGCAGCAATAATGGAAATTAAACATATATTGAAGGGAAGTCGGTTTCAAAATTCAAAAATAATTTGTTTCAAATGATCCTGTTTTCAGATCAGGTTTGTTACAGAAACCACCCTGGTCTACGTGTTCTAAAGTGGGCATTCATGGCTTATGGGCCATGGCAGTCTTCTGTAAAGGATTCGGTTATATTCTGCCTTTTATAATACTGGTAAGTATATCGGGTGGCTAAAAAACCTTACTAATTTTAAAGTTTAGTTACTTCAACAGTTCATAAGCTTGGTCTTAATAATTTGACTTTTTTCTGTTCTTTAACTCCTTGTGTAATTGTACTAGGGTAATCGTATTGCTAAACGGAACACAGCATGGTCAAATAAAAACTGCATGAAGCGATTAATTATTTTTATTTTAACACGGGCTAAAACGTGTCAAAATTATTTATAAAAAATAAAACAGCATTTATTTAGCACTAGTTTTCTTCAGCCAAAACATACGACTGACCTTGGCTATACGGAAGACGAAGCAGGGTATGTGATGGCCATTTTCGGAATCATGGGCATGGTTAGTGAGGCGTTAACCTCTTGCGCCGGGGACTATCTAAAGGGGAACTTGATGGTGGTGAACCTGGTAGCAGCTACGGTACTCATTGTCAATAATATTGTTGCTGCGTATTCGACTTTTTTGACGGCCATATTTGTATATGGTGCCGGTAGGTGTTTTTATTTCATTTTTATTTCACTTTTATTTCACTATTTACTTTGATCATCAGGCACTTTTAAAGGTTAGCTGGAATTGTCTTTGAAATTTATTTTAGTGTTGATAAATGAAATCGATGTCAATTGTACTCCAGCAATAAAACAATGTTGTATTACTCGTAATCAGTTCAAAACCCAGCAAAAAATCCGAAAATATTTTTATGGTTTGAATCATTTTTAAATGTTTTTCAGTATCAGGTTTTAGCGTAGGCTGTATGGTGTACTTTTCCGTCAACTATGAGATCATGGACGGAGAGAATGTTGATACTTTATTCATGACAATGCGCTTCAGTAAAGGTATCGGGGCTGCTGTAGGACCATATTTGGCGGGTAGGAATAGGTTTTCAGAGTGACAACATGATCAACGTACGCTAGGTGCAAATGTCCATTTCTTTAAAAAAACAAATTTCAGTTTTTTAAAATATCTTTGATCCAAGATATGTAAAATATTTAATCATTGTTGACAAATCTCGACTATTTCGCTGCTTCAATGGACACGCGGCTTTTGTTGTTCCTTTTTGTTGTTGAAAAATATCAATCTTCAATATTTTCTTGCTTCGACCAATACATTTTTGTCTAAATCAGCTAATATTGGAAGTTAAAGCGCTGCTGGGGTGTTGAGTGTTTTGATACTATAATTCAAGTATAATTTAAAATTTTAAGTTTTTTTACTGTAGCTCGCTTAAATAT